TTTACACCATGTATTGGAATTGCTTTCATATTAACGCCCAAAAATGCCGCAGAAGGTTTACATTTGAATGAAGATAAAACCGATTTTATCACTGCTACAGTTGAATTTGCCAAAAAGATCAAACCTGAAATTGCTGCCACTGCTAAAGATGAATTGATTGCTTATATAGGAGATATTTCTGTGCTGCCTGAGAGAAGAAAGGAAACAATATTCAAGATGAACTCGCGAAATTATTGGAACATTATTGGTCGCGATAAATATCCTGCTTTTTATGAAAATGCTAAGCCTTTTAACAAAATGACATGCTCATCGGCTACAGCAGAAAGAGCTTGGTCGACCTTTCGATTTATTCACTCGCGATTAAGAAATCGTCTTACGAATGAGAGAGTTGAAAAGCTAGTATTCTTGTATACTAATAGCGTGCTGATAGACACAAATGACAAGACTGATTACATTCTTGAAGAAGGTGCAATTCTCAATGAAATTGAATGTCAAGAAATCACCGAATAGGCGCCAGCATTTATATTTTTATTACTGCAAGAATCTTTGAAAACTCCTATTGTTACTAATCACTGAATTTATAATAAAGTTAAAAGATTACTTAAAACATTTTTTAAGTTTAAAACTTTTTTTGTTGATTTTAATAAATCGTCAGTAATAATAATATCTGCGCAGATCTGCGCCGAGAGACGAACCTTAATATATTTTAGCAGTAACAATAAATTTTGTCAGCGCCGACGTCTGCGCAGACAAATTACAATGTCTGCGCAGATCTGCGCATGTCTGCGCAGATCTGCGCCGACAGTGCGAACCCTATTAATTAGACGTTTTTCTTCAAACAGAAAGACAATGGAAAACTTTACAATAAATAGATATTTTCAAAATCTTAACACAGTACAGTGAACTAGAATTTGCATTCCCAGCAAATGAAAGTTCAGTAAGCAAAAGATCGCGTTGCAGCCCATAAACGAATATGCCAGGTTGGCTTCATGATAAAAAGTACGCAGAATGCTCCGCTAAATTGGAAAAAGTTATCTAGCCACCCGAAAATTTAACAGTAATGGTAAGACAAATATGAGAGTCAAGCATATAATGAATTTTTGTATGAAGGCACTAAATACAAAAACCGTTTTTCTATACTTCAATTAACACATTAGGCATAATTGAAAACTCTGCAACTGTTGCTGGTGCCTTTATTGAAAAAATTGAGACTCTCTTCCTACAAAAGAAACATTATCCCTAACAACGCTCCAGAAATGAAAACTGTTTGGAATTCAGTTGACGAAAATCTTCTAGACATCTTGACGTATGGCTGCAGCACACGCTGTGAATCTTCTTGTTAAGGACATTTTGAGTACTAATGAAAGTTCAAAGACCGTCAAAGAAACTGAGAAATTTATAAAGTTTGTGAAAAATCATCACCTTGTTAAAGTTTGGCGACAAGAGAATCGCAGCTAATATTCCTGGCTCACTCACAATGACTGTTTCAACTCGATGACTCAGTCAATTTAATTCAATGAATAACCTTTGTATAACAAAGTATGCTTTAATTTAACTTGCGGATGAGGAAAATGCATCTTTGAACAAAATTGCTCCAAAAACAAATTTGACCGTTGTATTGACGCTAATTAAATCAAATGGATTCTGGAATAGTTTGGCAAAACTCGTGAAAAATATTGAATATTCTTCAAATATCACACTATGCGTCGCTCCTATGCAAAATAAAGAAATAAGCTTATAAATAAAGAAGCATTCAACATGTTGAGCTATTTTTTTCACGAGACATCGAATTTTTGTTTATATTTCTATATTTAAAAGAAAAACTAATCTTGTGGTTACGAAAATAGCCATTTTTTTAAAAATTCAACCCAGAACAGCTCAGCAGTATAACATTTTAGTTCATTGTATAGATCTTTCTAAATTAGTTAATTACTAGTTAAAATTTATTAAAGTATTTCTTAAATATTTTTAAAAACAAAAAACAACAAAACTTTAAATTCTCATTACAAACTATATTAAGATTTCTTTACCAAAAAAATAACAAAAATAGTATAACAAAAATATGTTAAACTATTAACAATAGCATAACATTAAAAAAAAAAAAGATCAATATAAGTGTCAAAAATATCAAATGTCACAAACCAATAATTAACTGTGTCTCTAGTGTTTTCTTCCAAGAAAGTTAGACGTGCATGACCAACTTGTGCAGTTATTTTTGTTTATCATTTTAAGTATCCTCCAACCTAGTGGAGAATACTTAAAAAACATAAAAGAAACAGCATGAATTATATGTACAGATTGTGACATAGTTATGGTTTTTTTAAATGTGCTATTAGTAATGAATGCAAATAGATATTCAGATATCTGATTAAAAATCTATATATTCGGTCTTGTAGTTGTGATGTTCATATCAATGAGTCTCGAAACAACTTATTCTGATTTAAGTACTCTTTGTGGTACACTATAAATCATAAAAAAAGTACAATAAAGCATATGTAACAGCAGCAAAAATGTCAAACTTAGAAGTGCTTTTATGAAACATTTTAAAAACAATTTGTGTGTGTGTGTGTGTGTGTGTGCGTGTGTTTGTGTGTGTGTGTGTGTGTGTCTATATATAATGTTGGTATACAAGGGAACTTTTTGTCCATTTTTGGCAATATCAATTGATATACGACATAAACTTAATAAATTAATTAATGAGTTATTAAGATTTTTTTATTTTCACTAATCCACAAAAACTTATTACTTTAACTAGTATGTAAAAGCTTATTTATTCATTATCTCAAAATGATGTATCGTTTGTATACCGATGATTTATATGTATATATATATATATATATATATATATATATATATATATATATATATATATATATATATATATATATATATATATATATATATATATATATATATATATATATATATCGAGAGAGAGAGAAAGAGAGAGAGAATGAGAGAGAGAGAAAAGAGAGAGAGAGATAAAGAGAGAGAGGTATAAATCTATATACACCTGCTTATCTTGTATCCATATGCTTATATTGTATCCATGTGTAAAATAGTAAATCATCTTCTTTAAGTTTATGCTCACATAGCCAGAATATTATTTCACTTCTATTTATCGCAGAAAATTTATAATAAATAAAAAACTGGCTACCTCTAGAGGTAGCCAGTTTTTATTACTACAGCTGTAGTAACATGGTCTAATCAATCAATCTTTACGGACATACAGAAACGATGATCCAATCTTTTTTATTTTATTTTCTTGGTTTTTAATTTACAAAATGCATCATTTATTTGGTAATATGAAATAAAATTGAGGAAATTTGGAAATTATTGTATGTCAAATAAAGATTTTGTGAAAACCCGAGTTTTTTTACCCCTGAAAATCTCGCACATAAAAAGGCAAATTTAAAAAAATTTGCAACAAACATTTTTTTATTAATTAATGCTAACTTGTTTCAGTTAAAAAATATTCAAAATATTAAAGTTAAATTTTTTTTCAGAAAAGTAAGTAAAACTTCCGCTTGGCGACGCTTAGTGCATCATTGGAAGACTTAAAAATATTGAATTTATTTTGGTTAAATGAACAAGAAATTTGCAAATGAGGAAATTATTCAGGAAATGGTAATGAAGCGCTTTAAATTTCTTATTACCATATATGGGAATTGGTTATAATCTGAGATATAAGACTGATATAATCAGTTTAATTTCAGAATTAGCCTCAAAAACAAATCCAACAATAGCTAAGACGGTTGAAAGTGAAATGATTGAATTTGTTCGAGAAATGACAACACTGAAAGAAGAATAATTTTCTAAATGAGCGCAAAGAATTATTGGAACATGGTTGTTGGTCAGAAATATCCAGCAGTCTTTGAAGTTGCAATCTATTGTTGAAATGATTTTTTCGTCAGCAACAACAAAGAGAACTTCTTTTAATTTTAACTCACCTGCGTTTTATTTAAAAAACATTTTATTCTAAATTTGACAATATTTAATTAATTTCAAATACAATTCATCTGTTAAACTTGTATGTGTATCATATGCATATTACGCGCGTAACTTTTGAATGCTACGCGCATATATTCACCGATATGCGCATAAGTTCCGAATCCTACATTAGCAGGTAATTTGAACGTTATTGCGAATTTAAATTTAGAAAATGGATTGATTTTATTTAAAATTATTATTTTAAGAAGAATATGAGTTTGTTTATTTTTAAGCATTAAGTTATTTTTGTGTTTAGTTTCAGTCTAAGAACTATTATTACTCATGGAAAAATTTAAACAAAGAAAAAAATATTAAAGTAAATAATACATTGTTATATAAAAATATTACGTTATACATTGGGCAACAATCAAAATTAAAATTTGCACCACACAATTATATAAAAATTATGTACCACTTTTAAATAGCCTCTCTTATTTAAATCCATTTTCAAAAAAAATTTTGGATTAAATATATAAATTAAAAAAAATCTTTCTCAAAATTTAAAGGGAGAAGGGAGAGAGAAAAAAGACGTGAGGTCATTTATAGATAAGCCCCAACCGACTAAAGCAAGTTAAATTGAACAGAAGCCAAAACTAATGATTAAACGGGATCGCAAAAGTTATAAAAGATTTTTTCTAAACATAAATCTGTATAGAGTAATGCAAAATGTTTATTTAACTAAGTTTTTAAAAATTTGAAGAAATCAAAATTTATAAAATACCATAAAACTGTTTCAACATTTTTGAAATAAGATTTTTAAATTTGTTTTTTTATAACACTTATTTTTTGATTTTATGAATTTGGTTTTAAACAAAAATCCTAATCACAAGATACATGAAATAAAAACTAAAAATTTTAAGTAAACGTGTGATTATTAAATAAAAAATATATTTTGTTGAGAAAACTAAGTATAGATTCAGCTGAGATCATCAAGTAAAGAATGCAAATTAAAAAAAATATATATTTTTGTTTTAAAATTTTTGAAAATAAAATGCAATTTAAAAATATTTTCAAAACTTAAGTTTAAAGTCATCTACACCAAAAAAATTTATAAAGCATATAAATGTGTTTTTAAAGAGTAAAAAAATTTTAAATAGATTTTTTTTTGTTCTTTTATTCAACAATATAAAAAAATGCAATGCAAAACATACCATATTTTATGCACACATACATTTAAAAAAAACATCGTATTCTATGTACACATACATATAAAAAAACACCTTATTACATGGAAATTGCCTATATACACATACATTAAATAAACATCAAATAAAGAAAATGCATAAGGGGTCATCCATAAATTACGTCACGTCAACTTTTGACCTCCCCCCCCCCCTCTTGTCACAAAATCGTCACACTTAAAAAGCAAGTTTTGTATGGGTTGTCACAAAAGTACCAACCCTCCTCCCTTCTTATAGGGTTACGTAATATATGGACGACTCCTAAGGTAAAAAAAAAAAAAACTGTCTATGTGATTTTTACTTCCGTTGAAGACGTCGGTGGCGTTTTTGGTCCGTTAATACTTTTAGGAAGTAAAAAGGAAAGCACTAGTATTGTTAAAGTAAAAAAAGCTACAGCAAAAAATGAAAGTCGATAGTCAAGCGGAAACTTAACTTGATGATTATTATCATTGATAGACCATGCAAATAAACTACCGAACATAGTTGGTGATGCCACTCTAAAAAAACAAACTAAAATTATACTTTAAAAACAAAAATAAACAACTAAACTTATTTAATAATACTACATACTACATAAAAGTTAACTACCAATTTGTAAAGTAGTATATAAAAAATAAAACTAGAGAACGACACAAAAAAAAAGTGAAAAGATTTAAATATTTTACCTCATAATTTCTTGGACAGAGTACGCTAAACCGTTTACTCGCCCCGCTTGGTCAGAGTACACAGAATTATTTATAAAAAGTGCAATGCACGATCGGCTGCTAATGTCAGCAATCATACGAAGTAAACCAAGAAATATCAATAAAAACCACATAATGCTTTTACTGTTAATAATAAAAAAATAATAATATACAATTCTTAATAATAATATATATAGGGGCGATTCTTTAAATAAAATGAGGGGTGGAAGGAGACTTTTTAAAAACTACCGACTGCTTTCCGTAAAAAAAGAAGAAAAAGATCCTAAAAATCATCCGAATGAAAATAACACTAAAAGTCATCCGAATAAAAAGTTTTATGTGCCCGACTAGCCGACTCTATTCCTTAAAAAACAACTTTAACTTGAAAACCGCCTTTTTAGAAGAATCGCCCCTAAAATTATGTATATAAGTGTGTGCGTGTATATATATATATATATATATATATATATATATATATATATATATATATATATATATATATATATATATATATATATATACATATATAATATATATATATAATATATATATATATATATATATATATATATATATATATATATATATATATATATATATATATAAATATATATATATATATATATATATATATATATATATATATATATATATATATATATATATATATATATATATATATATATATATATATATACAGGGCCTTATTCTAGGAAAAAAATTTGAGCGGCGGCGCCCCCTCGTTCTGTCGAACTTTAGCAGAGAATCGGCGTTTTTTTCACAAAAAAACAATATTTGCTGTAACAAAAAACGTAAAAAAACTTTAAAAAAAAGTCCTCAAATTTTAATTTGGGCGACACCCAAAAACGGTCGACGCTATCGAAAACGCTCAAGAATAATCCCTAATGTTACAGCAAATATTGTTTTTTTGTGAAAAAAATGCCGATGTTCCGCTAAAGTTTGTGTAAACGAAGGGGTACCGTCGCCCAAATTATTTTGTAACTTAATTAACTAAATTATATGATAGTATTTAACATTTTTAAAAATTTTTTTAGTCATTTCCATTTTTGATTCATTTCTAATAGCTTAAGGGGCAACTACCCTTAAATTTTAAAACAACACATATAAAATAACTTTTTCTTTAGTCATATAGTAAATATTACACTGACATTAAAAATAGAGCGTGACAGTTATTTGATAAACAAGTTTTTTTAAGCTTATTCGTCATTTTATGGATAAGATCAAGATATTCAACAATACTTTTAATAATATTAGCTTCTACAACAGTGGGGAACCAACCTTCAATTTTAGTTGACGTTTCTGCCATAATAGACAAGCACCCTTTTAGATCCATAATGGATTTTAACTGCCTCAAGTCCAAATTCCAACGAGTTGGTACTTTCTGGATAAGTCTAGTTCGTGGTTGGTTATGCTCAATAGCAATTTTTCTTAAAATACTCGTAGCCTTAGAAGAATGACTGAAGTGCCCAACTAATTTATTTAGCTTTAGTGCAATTTCTAACCACTCAGGAACACTAGCTATAGCTTGCATGACAATTAAATGTATCTGATGATCAGCGCACCAAAGATTGTTGCTGATAACTTTGCTGATGCGCATAGCTTTCATAACATTTGACCCTCCATAAGTCGTCGCCAATGTATTTGTTTTATTCTCCAAACTCAAGCGTTTTATTAAGTAACTTTTCTACGATATTTTCGGCATTATGTGCAGTCGTTTAAGCTGAAAACGTTTTGTAATAAAATGTAGAGTGAGCGATTGGAAAGCAAGTTTATTACAAGAGGTCCAGATATCAGTAGTAAAGGCACAACCGTCAAGGTCAATCTTCTCGCTGTCAATAATTTTGTTCACATGATCACTGATGAATTGATATAGCCTAGGAACTCTGTCCTGAGAAAGTGATTTTGATGAAACAGGGTTATACTTTCCCTTCGTTGCTTGCTTCATTATTTCATGAAAACATTTACTATCCACTATCCTAAAAGGTGTAAAATGATGTAACTAAATTTACATTTCAAAATGGTCTTTGGGCCCTGGATTAACTACACGGGAAGTTTTAGAGACTTGATCATTTTTCGACTTACCAGATGATGTTAAAAATTGAGAGTATGACTCAGGAGAGGCAACAAGACAAGCTTGTTTGGGTGTACTGATGAAATTGATTTCAGAAGATTCATCATTATCAATAACGCGAGACTTTTTCCAATCTGTTGAACATAATTGAGTTTCTCATATGCCGAAAAAACATGGCAGTGCTGCTCTTTTAGATGATTAATAAGACCTGAAGTAGTACCGGCGTTAGCAGCAAGTTCCTTTTCGCACGCATTACACTTTGCATGAGAAGTGTCAGTCATTTCAAAGAAATCCCAAATACAAGACTTTCTGGGCATTTTATGAAGAAAAGCAGCTTTCACGTGAAAAAAAATGTTCAAATGTTTGATCTAAATTAAATTTTAATTGAAATGAAATTCTTTTAGAATATCATTAGTATAACCAGAAATTAGTTAGGATAGAAATAGCTCTGCCGAATATCAGCACGGGTAACAGCTAATATTTAACAAAATTTATTATATTGTTTCATTTCACAATATAATAAAGTTTGTTAAATATTAGCTATTACCCGTGCTGATTTTTGGAACAGATATTTCTATCAAGTTTATCTATAAAATTCATATATTATAAGTAAAGTAATAAATTATATAAACTAGAGTTTCACATTTCCCGTAAGTTTTGCATCCCGGAATTCCCCGTGTGAAACTTTGTTATCCCGGGATTTCCCGGAATAAAAATAGTATAATAACAAACAAGCGGTTTCTGTGGAAATTTTATATTAGCACACTAATCTTAATTATTTATTGAAATATTACCTATCCGGAAACAAATTTTTCCCATAAGTATACCCAATTTTTTAATTTAATTTAAAGCAGCTTTCCAAAGAGAAAATTCTTTGCCCATTAATTTTTCTTTACAAAAATATCGCCATCCATTCGCTCCAGTCACTATTGACATCGTACAATTATTATGAATCGTAAAACAATCTTCTCTAATTTTAAAAAAAAATACTGGTTAAAAAACTTGGTGCTATTTAAGATAATATATTCTTTAAATTATATTTTTTGTTGAACTGGATTAAAAAAAAGAGTATGTATTTATAAAACTCAATTTAAAAAGAGGATTTAACACATAAAATTTCTTTAAAAATAAGTATGAACAAATAAGACTAAGCTAAAAGAAAGGTATGTACACATAAAACTCAGCATAAAGTACGGTATGGACACATAAAATTCCACTAAAAAATATTGGGTGTATTACAAAAAAATTACTAAATTAAAAAAACGCTTAATTATTATTGCAAAAAATAAAACCATTTAAAAACCTGAAATGATATTTTTGTTCGGTGTCGCACGATTATACACAATTAAATTTACCTGTAAAGCTAATTTAAAATAAATATTTCGTTCATATAATATATAATAAGCAGAAAAACATTACTTATTAATTAGAAACAAACTTATAAATAATGTTTCCTTACTTGTTTTATAAAGTAAAGTGGCAGCAATAAATTGTGATAATTACAACAAATTGTGGTTAATTTCGTAGTTTAAAGATAAATAACAATAAATAATATAACAATTCGGGGAAGTGGAGGCATAACCCCATATGGACACAACCGTTTTTCAACATTTCGCTTTGAAAAATGTTATCTAATATGGCAAAAAAAAACAGCATGCGTCGGTAAAACAGTTTCCTTCATTTCGCTAAGGGAAAGGGGGGGGGGCATAACAGCCCCCGTTATGTTTAAATTAAAGAAATGTGAAAATTAAAACGGCATGTGTTTTTTTTTTAACCATAAAACTTTGCCATAAGTTACGTTTTAAAGTCATAACAGATTTTTACTTAAAATTTATATAAAAAGAAGTTTATCTTTTTAAAATATAATCTTCATTGACGTTTGCATAAATATAAAAGAATCTTTTATATCTTAAATGCAGGACCGATGACACCAGAGAGGCCAGGGGGGCACTAATATCTGCACTTTTATTTTTCAGGTCCTTTTTTTTTTTTTTTTTTAGAAAATTAAGAATTTTTTTAGAAATAAGGAAGTATGCCCCCCTCACTTTGAAACCCATGTCGTCGGCCCTGAAATGATGAAACGTCTTTTAAATTTTTATAAGACGCGAATGATTGTACCTCCTTCTCTTTATATTCCGTTTTTTTACTACTTGTACTTATACGCCACCAGCGTATGTCGATGGCGGCTTCGTAAATGAATCGTGACCTGCAGGTTGTTGGTATAACATAACTCCGAAATTCCTTTAAAGAGTCTAACTCGCAATATTAAAGTGTTTATTTAAAATTTTCAAATATTAAAAAATAAAATTTAATAATATATTTGTAAAATACAAATTGTGTTAATTTTATATTCGTTTGAAAATAATATTCGTTTAACAAATAAAATTTGCTTAACAAATAATATTCTATAAACAAATAATGTTCGTTGAACAAATAATAATTCATTTAGCGAATAAAAGTAAACCAATACATATTCGTCCCCTTTTATTTGTTCGACAAATATATATTTGTTAAACGGTTATTATTTATTAAACAAAAATTGGTTTACGAATATATTCGTATCCTACGAATAATTTAAACGATTAGTTTTTACGAATACTGTTTAACGAATAATTTAACCGAATATTCTCTAATGATTATTCGTGCATCCATATTTGATAAACGAATAACCGTTGCGCTCTAATTGAAAATATAAAAAAATACATAAAATGGTAGCTTGTTGCTATGGCAACTCAAAAATAGAAGAAAAAACCACAAAAACTGTGTTTACGCCGTAAACAAAAAACAACTAAATAACTCAAAATCTTAAGTCATATGAGAAATTCTACTCCGCTTATATCATAAGCATTGCTAAAGTGAATAATCCCTGAAAATTTCATCATGATAGCATGTATACTTTGCAAGATTTTTTTCCCGGCGTGTTTAAAGGGATCCCTAAGTGCTCCTAACATATGATCTCATATGAAAGTGCATAAAAAAAAAAATATGTAAGTTTTTTTTTTTTTTCACTAAATTGTAATTATAAATGCTTTCTAACAAAAAGCAATTGCCG